GCAAGGCCACGTTGCCTCAGGATGCCGGGCTCCCCGTCAGCGCGGTGCGACACCTCGTCCGGACGCCACGCCGTCTCCTCCCAAGCTCCAGCAGAGAAATACGGCGAGTCGCGGCACCTCACACGTTTGGCCCACGCACACATCCGACACACACTCACGCGCTCAACTAAACAGGGCTCCAAATTCCCCGTCCGTCGCGCGCGATTGTTCTGTAATGCGGCGAGCACTCCAACCGGGTCAGTGGTCGGAGCTCGCCCATCGTGTCGTTGCTGCGTCGGCGGGATCATCGGTCGTGGTCGGTCACATTGATGGGGTAGAGGTGCGGATTTTAATTGACACAGGGGCATCGGCGACCATTATATCTGATTTGATTTATAACATCCTTCCCGTTCAAAGTCGTCCCTTGCTCCCTGTTGACGTGCCATGCTATGCTGCTAACGGGGGCTCGCTGGGCATTATTGGGCAAATCCGCGCCACTATCTGCATTGGAGACATTAAATTATCCGGGCCTGTTTTGGTTTCCTCCTCACTCGCGGTTCCGTGCCTGTTGGGGACGGATTTCTTGGCCAAAATGCCCATCCGTATCCTGATTGACCAGGGGTGCATTGAGCTCCCATCGGGCCGACGCGTTACATTTTTGTCTTCCCCCACCACGGAGCGTCGGGCGTTTGCCACCGTGCAGGCGCTCGTGACAAAAACTGTGCGCGTACCTCCGGGGGCTCAGATGCTCGTCCCTCTTAGGTTGCGTCGGCCGTTTAATGAAGGGGTTGCGGATCGGGGGGTCTTGTTGGGACCATCTCGGGCCGGGGTAAATGGACCCGATTTGCTCGCGGCTCAGACCATGGTGAGAGGGGATGGGGACCCCTTCATTGCAGTCCTTAATGTGGGATCGCGAACGGCCGTGGTTCCTCAAGGGACCGTGCTTGCACACGCAACGCCGGTACCCTATGAGGAACCACTCGTGGGTCAGGTATCCACCGATCCTCCGTCGCGACCGCATTCGGACTGTGATGACGGATGGCTGGATGCGCTTTGCGCGGGTTCAGTGGACCTGTCCGACTCGCAGCGCGCGCAGCTGCGAGTTCTCCTGAGCGAATTTGCTGACGTTTTTAGTCAACACAAATTTGATATTGGTTGTACTAAATTGCTGCGACACCATATTGACACGGGTGACAGCGCGCCAATCCGCCAAAATCCCTTTCGGTTGAGTCCCGCCGAAAAGGATCATGTCAAATCGGCTGTTGATGACATGCTAGCCGCCGATATCATTTCCCCTTCCAACAGCCCGTGGGGCGCGCCGATCGTTTTGGTGAAAAAACACGACGGCTCACTGCGGTTTTGTGTCGACTTTCGGCGTCTGAACAAAATCTCTGTGGCAGATGCGTACCCGCTTCCTCGAATGGATGAGTCGCTCGATGCCTTGGCGGGGGCGCGATTCTTTTCCACCCTCGATTTGCTATCTGGATTCTGGCAGCTTCCTCTGGATGACGAATCAAAACCTAAGACTGCTTTTCGTACACCGCAAGGTCTCTTCCAATTTAACCGCTTGCCGATGGGTTTACATTCTGCGCCGGCAACTTTTCAGCGGTTAATGGAATTGGTCTTGGCAGGTTTGCAATGGGATTCGTGTTTGATTTACTTAGACGATGTCATCGTCTTTAGCAAATCCTTCGAGGAACACCTCCAGAGGTTGCGTGCTGTTTTTCTCAAAATGCGGGCTGCCAATTTGAAATTTAAACCGCAGAAGTGCCATTTACTCCGCGAATCGGTGCGATATTTGGGTCACATTGTTGGGCGCTCGGGGATATCCACTGATCCCGCCAAAACGGAATGCGTCAGCTCCTGGCCGACTCCCACCTCGGTGGGAGAGGTCAGGAGTTTCATTGGGTTCGCGTCGTATTATCGACGATTTGTGGCTGACTTCGCTACGATTGCGAAACCATTGCATGCCTTGACGTCCAAGGGAGTCAGGTTTCATTGGGGGCCGGAGGAGGAGGCTGCTTTTCGCGCCCTCCGGAATGCTTTGGTGGGGGCTCCGCCGTTGAATTACCCCGATTTTTCACAACCCTTCTTGCTCGATACTGATGCAAGTAACACGGGCATCGGGGGCGTGCTGTCCCAGCTCATTGGGGGCGTAGAGCATGTGGTGGCTTACGGTAGTCGGGTACTGTCTCCAGCCAAACAGCGGTACTGCGTTACCCGTCGGGAATTATTGGCGATTGTTTATTTCATTCAGCAGTACCGCCCGTATCTGTACGGTCGGCGGTTCACCGTCCGTACAGATCATGCGGCCCTACAGTACGCCCTGCGGGTTCAACAACCATCGGGCCAGTTGTCTCGATGGTTGGAGATCCTCCAAGACTATGACTTTGTCACCACATATCGTAAGGGTGTCCGCCACACGAACGCTGACGCCCTGTCACGATTGCCACCCACTTCGGAGTGCGCGTGCCTCTTGGGTTCGGGGCGTTGTAGGCCCTCGAACGTCACCACCGATTCGGTCCTCGTGGCCGCTGCCGATGCGCCTTCGGCTTCGGGTCCTATCGAGCAAGAAGGGAGGGATTCGTTGCTGGGGTTGTCGGTCGCGGAATGGGGACGCCTCCAAATGGAGGACACCTCCCTCCTCGCTCTGCGCCGTCGCGTCAGGGGGGCTGGTCAGGGGGTGGCGAACGTTGACTCGTGGGGGTTGTTCCAGGGTCTTTTAATGCACTGGGATGGAAAAACCCGCCGCCAGCGGCTCGTGGTTCCTGCAGCATTAAGGGGTAAGGTGGTATGGGCTGTTCATGAGCGGCTTCTGCACTTGGGGGTTCACAAGACCTTTGCCACGCTCCAGCTCGATTTCTTCTGGCCGGGCATGGAAAAGGACGTGGGGGATCTCCTGGGGTCATGCACGCAATGCGCGCAGAGGAAGCCACCTGCTAGGGGGTCCAACCCTCCGCTGCAGTCCATTAAGGTTTCCCGGGTTAACGAGCTCGTCGCTCTGGACATACTCGGCCCATTTCCCGCTACGCCCAGGGGCAATAGGTATCTATTAACGGGGGTCGAATACTTCACGAGATGGCCTATGGCCTGGCCCCTGGCAAACCAGTCGGCAGCAGCCATCGCGGAGGCCTTTGTCCAGGGCTATGTCCTCGACAAGGGTGCTCCGGAACGGCTGCTTACTGACCAGGGTAGGAATTTTTCTGGTAAACTCCTGCGTGAGGTGTGCGACCTCTTGGGTACGGAGAAGGTTCGGACCTCTCCGTATCACCCACAAACTGACGGGATGGTGGAACGGCTGCATCGGACCATCACGTCTATGCTGTCCCAGCAGGTGTCAGTATCCCAGACGGATTGGGACCTCCGTATAGCCGGTGTGTTGCAGGCTTACAGAATGGCTCCCCATGCGGCCACCGGATTTTCCCCTTTCTTTTTAATGTATGGGCGCGAAGTTAACCCCCCTGTGGCGACCCAGCTGAAGCTCTCGGCGCCCCAAGTGAAGTCTAACTTGTCCGAACACGTTAAATTTAACATCGGTAAATTGTCTGAGGCGCGGGAAGCGGCCGTGCAAAATTCTGAACTCCGCCAGAGGGCGAACGAGAGGCTTCGGCTGGGGCGGGTGCAGGTGGTCAAATGGAAACCAGGGGACAGGGCGTGGTTGCACTGTCCTCAGGTGCCGCTGGCAACCTCGTCGAAATTGGTACGGCCGTGGCGGGGGCCAGTGGAGGTCGTACAGGTTTTGCGGCCGCAATGTGTTCGTGTCAAATGGGGGAGGCGCCGGTGGTATGTGCACCCCTCAAGGTTGAAACCATTCATCGCGCCGCCCCGTGGTTCACACACACACACGCATGGCCAAACGTGTGAGGGTTTCGCCGACTCCCCGACGCCGCTGCACTCGCCTAACCTGGCACCAACTGTCCCGTCCCCAGGTGAAACAGGAGTGACGGGCCCACGCCCACCAACCCCTCCCGGAGGGGTCGGGGGTCACTCGGCGGCGACGCCTGACTCTCTTGCACCCGGACCGTCAACAACCATCACTGAACGTGCCAGGACGGGCCCTTGTGACGGGCCCGCCGCAAGAACGCGCGCCAAAACGCGCAGACTTTTGTGAGGTCGGCCGTTGGGGGGCCTTGCGGACAATGGGGGGGGCGGCGTCCGGAGTGTGTATATATGTTGGTTTTGGGGTGGTTATTCGGGGGGGGTGCGTCGGGTTATTTTTTTTCTCTCTCTCTCTTCCTGTTGTTGTTCTTGTTAAGGTTCTCTTGTTCTTGTTGAAAAAATTTACGCGAGGCACACACACGGGGTTTTCGTGAGGGATGCACCTTTATTCTGATTTTTTTTTGCAACCAGGGATGGCTGCGAGCTGTACAGGGGGGGGTGATGTAGAGGTGTAATTGCGCATGGCTACGAATGTTGAGGTGTGATTATGCATGGCCACGGATGGCCAACAAACACAAGGGGCGGGGTTACGGCCGTACACAAGGGTGGCGCTCGCACCGACGTCCGCATGTGTATCCCCCACGGGCCCCCCCTCGGGGGCGAGTCCTATAAAAGGTGATGAGCTCGAGGGCTCGAGGTCGGGACTCAGCTTTAACCAGAGAAGACGGAAGACCAGCTAGTGTAGGCCCCAGAGCTCCCCTGGCTCGCTGTCCTTATAAGGGCCGACCAGGGCAAGCCGGTGGCGTGGCCCCGAGAGCCCAGACGAAGCTGGTCTGGTGACTCAGGGAGCCGGGATCCCAGCTTAACCAAGCTGGGACAGATAGCCTCCCCTAGTCCCGTAGTGGAGGAATTGGTATAGGTTAGAGGGGTTAGCTGTCGAGAAATCCCTGTAGCCAAGTGACCTGTAATAACTGTGTTGGTGTAAAAAATAAGTGTGCCTCCGATCCTGTCGTCAAGCCTCCATATACTTACTACACTAATACTAACTAATAATAGTATGTGTACACTAATACTAACTAATATTAGTATGTGTACACTAACACTAACTAAAATTAGTGTGTGTACACTAATACTCACCACAGATGGACGCTCACCGACTCTGGACACAAACTCAGCCGGTGACCGCCTCCAGATTTCCACGGATCTCAGGACGGCGACGCGGAGCGCTGTCTCCCAGGGTCGCCCCCATCACCCACATCGCTTTGATGTCTGGGGCCAAGCCCTGTGCTCCGAGAGCTTCTCGTCGGGTCAGCACTACTGGGAGGTGGACATGGGGAGCGCGGGGCTGTGTCGGGTTGGAGTCACGTACGGGACGATCCCACGGAGAGGGATCGCCCCCTACGCGATTGAGGGCCGCCTGGGAGGGAGTGACGTATCCTGGTGTCTAGAGAAACATGGCAACAGCTTCTCAGTGCTGCATGGCGGGGTAGAGACGTCACTGTCGGTGCCAGAGCCTCCACGGAGAGTCGGGGTCCACCTGGACTGGGACGCGGGGCTGCTGTCGTTTTACAGCGCCCACTCTATGGCACCGTTGCACTCGTTTCACCAAACCTTCACTCAGCCCCTACATCCTGGGCTATGGGTGGGTGGGGGGTTGTTCGGGGGTAAAGTTCGTGACTCAGTGAGGATTGTGGATCTGAGTGGCGCGTCCTGAGAGAGGTTAACGTGAACAGCGCAGAGGGCAGACGCCAAGACACACGGCGCTCGCCACCCTCGTCACCGTCTCGCGCAGGGCCAAGCCCGTGGCTAGCTGGTGGCTGTCGGTGGCTAGGGCTAGGGGCTGCGTGGCTCTCCATCACAACGGGGGGGGGGGGGGCTGAGCGTAAACAACATTCATGGGGGGGGGAGGGTGATAAAATGGTTACCGTTCTGTGTGTGTGAAGCCAACGTGGATGTATTTACCCTGCCAGAGGAGTGTGACTGTGGTGTAGGGTGCAGTGATTAGCAATGGTGAACTGGGATGTGTTTATACACTGGTGGTGTCATGGGTTGTGGGATACAACAGCAACAATAATATAATTAACAATTAAACGTATAAATGTGTGCGTACGACAGTAGCATTATAACTTTTTTTGTTGTGACGCTTGTATCGTCGATTCCACAATAAAAATACAGAACACAACAATGTGATGCCGCCGCCACGAAGCCGTTCGGCAGGCACCAAATCCCCGACCTCGCCACCACCAAGCAACGGAGCCGACCCCGCGTCCCCCTCACCTCACCTCACATGAACACACCCGCACTCATTTCCCCCCCCCCCCCATAGAGCTCCGAGGGGAGGTCGCCTGGCCGACCGGTTTTTATCCGAGAGACCCTTATCGGGATTAATTCTCACGTTTTCCGTCGATCAGGGGATTGGATGACCTCCCCCGTGCTACGTGGCACCGTGGCGCTGCGGCCGGCCTTAATATGGTGTGGTCGCGGCGTGGGGCATTCGGCCACCGCGGTTGAAGCGCATCTCCCCCCACACACACTCCCACGGGTCGACGGGGCGAGCAGGGGAGGCACGGGACAGCATGAATAGGGGGGTCACAGGGGCTGTTGCGCATAGTCATGGAGGGTTGGGATAATTGCGCTTGAGCGCGCAGGCCCCATTGTTAGGGAGGGTAAGGGATTAAGTAGGATTTACGCCTTGCACGCAGCACACTGATTAGCATACAACAGCGCCCAGAACCGCCGTGCGCGTGCCAGAGGATCGCGAGCCCATTGTTTAGCGCAGCATCCCCTTTGAGGTAGGGAGGATAAATAGAGGGGCGCAGAGGGAAAATAGCTCTCTTCTCTCCAGCGCCAGGCGACAGGACGCTCTCCAGTCCAGCGACCCGATCGTCCGTGAGACGCATCGAGGTGCGCTGCGAGCACGGGATCAACGAACCGCCGTGGGCATCCAGCAGGAAGTAAGTAGGTGAATTAGAATCATAGCAGATAAATCGGGAATAGGTATAAAGGTATCAGCGTAGGCCAGCCTCGTCGACTCACTGATTTAACATTAAATTACCAGGTATCAGATAATAAATCATTAATAGCGAAGCGTGGTCTCGCGTGATATTGTCGTGCAGTGTGAGCGTGTGGGTGCGCGTGTGTACACTGTGGTTCACCACGTGAGTGAGCTCTGCGTAGAGCGGCGCACGAGTGGGTGTCGCGTGTGTGCAGGTGTGTGCGCTCGTAGTGTGGGTGAAGGGGTCGGTGCGTCCGCAGGTCCCCGATCCGTCTGTCGCCGCCGGGACTCGCGCAGTGTGAGGGCAGCGCCGTTCGCTCCCGACCCCCGTTTTAATAGCGCGTGATCCGTGGAGAGACAACGCAGCGTCTGCAGGTGAACGAGGGCGTGCGGCGAGCTATGCCTCTCACACGAGCTCGCGGAGGGACGGACCAGGGAGGGGAGCCGTCGGGCGATGAGCCCAGCGACGGCAGCAGCTGCTCGCAGAGCAGCGAGGGGTCGGCGCACGGCGGAGCCCCTGCCATAGGCACGGAGCAGGGAGGGACTCCGGGGACCAGCGGCCCCAACAACTTGGTGCCAGAAGTGGGACGAACCCTCACATCTTCACGGGAAGGTGGCGCGCTACTCCACGCAAAGGTAAGGCCTGTGTTCACCGGCCAGGGGACCCCTACATGGAAAGCGTTTTCCCGTAATATCATAGGGGCTAAAGAGCTTAATGGCTGGTCGGACGCGCAGGCGTTGCGACATCTTACGTTAAACTTAGACGGGCGGGCAGCCGACTTTGTAGAGGCACTACCCGAAAGCGCGCAAACCCAACTAGAAGAACTAATGCGTAGATTAGACCTGCGTTTCGGCACGCGCAACGTGATACGGGCGAAGACTGCCTTAGAGGCGCGCCGACGCCAAACTGGCGAGGACTTCCGAGACTACGCTGAGGACGTGCGATCACTAACCCGGATCGCCCGTCCAGAGTTCTCGAAGGAGGTCATTGACGCGCTAGCTGCAGACAAGCTACTCAGGTACCTAGCTCGCACCGCGTGGTGGCAGCCCAAAAAGAGTAGCGCAGGCCTCCCTTTCGATACCCTAGTCGAGCAAGCGCTGGAGTGTGAGGAGCTCTCCAGCGAACGCGCGCAGCTCCGAGGGTCGGGACAGGAGTACACCGTGGCGAGCCTGATCCCTGACGAGGAGGAGGATGAGGATGAGCCCGCCAGCCCCATGGGGAGACGAGCAAGAGAGGCCCAGAAACCCCGCGAGACAACCCCGGGTTGGGTAGCTGGGTTACAGACCGGCATGGGAGATATTGCTGGCCGAGTAGACCGAATGGACGGTAAGGTAACCCAAGTAGGGGAGAGGGTAACCCACGTAGGTGAGAGGGTAACCCAGGTACGCGAGGAAGCGAATAAAAATATGAAGACCCTCCAGTCTGAGATGGGGGAACTACGCTCGACCGTAGGGGGGCTGGCCGGGAGAGTAGCCCAATTAGAGTCCGATGTGGGACAACTGCGTACTGGGGGAGGGAGAGGGAGCGGACAGGGGACCCGCTACGGAGCCGCCCCCCCTCCCCGGGCATGTTATATGTGCGACCGCCGAGGGCATCTAGTGAGAGACTGTCCTGAAATCACCCGAGCTAGGCAGACGCGGGGGTTAAACTCCAACGCCCCCTAGAAAGCGGACCAACTAGGGGTGCAATCGACGCGGTCCCGATACAAATAGACGATAATGAGAATAATGGCGAGCGAGTGATCTCCACACAGGTTCCAGCAACAACGCCCACAGAAACGGTGACTCCTGGCGACTGGCTGCGGGAGCTGGTGGCAGGGATCACGGGGGCCACGTCGCTGGTGGAAGGGGAGGTAAACGGAGTGCGTACCCGAATCCTGCTGGACACGGGGGCGGTGGCCTCGCTCGTGAGCGCAGCGCACTGCAGCGCGATCGGGGTCGACGTGCGTCACCTGCAGGCCCCGGACCACGCGCTGCACACTGCGAGCGGAGCCGGAATGGGACTGCTGGGGAGAGCCACCCTAGAGGTCCGCATAGGCAGCCAGGTGTGCACGCAGGAGTTCTACGTGTCGAGTGCGTTGTGTCACGAGTGTATCGCAGGCACCGACCTCCTAGAACGGTTGGGACTCAACGTGCAACCCCGCCAGCGATGCGCCACCATGGAGAGCAACGGCGAGCGGATACCGTTCCTGGGACGAGAACCAACGCGCCGCCGCTTTGCACCTGTGGCCGCTATCCTGGCGACGACAGTCACCATCGGCCCGCTCACCGAGATGCTGGTGCCGGTGGCAACATCCCCCACCGACCCCGCGCTCCGACCATCAGGGGAGGTAATGCTAACTCCTCACCCGGAGTTGGCAAAACGGTATGGGGTTGTAGGATCCGCCACGTTGGTAAACTCAGATGGGGACCGATTGTTTATGCGAATGTTTAACCCCCACAATACCCCAGCGATACTGCGACGGCGCACCCCGATAGCCACAGTACACCCCCTGCACGCACGCCACTCTAACGACTCGGTGTTCGCACTCTGGGCTGAGGACCCCGGGCATCCTGAGGGTGACCAGGACCTGGCCTGGCGAGTCGGCCCGACTCCCCGAGCCGAGGTCGTTCCCCTGCTCGACGCGTTACATGTACCATGGGCGGATTTACCTAAGGGAGGGGCCGATCGGCTGCGCGAGTTACTGCGGGAGTATGCCGACGTATTCAGTGAACACGACTCGGACGTGGGTCGGACCGATCTTGTTAAGCACCAAATTGACACCGGTGCAGCCCGACCCATCAAACTCCCTGCGTACCGAGTGGGCGCACCCGAACGCGCCCAAATCAAAGAGGCAGTTGGGGACATGCTTCGCGATAACATAATTCAGCCCTTGGCGAGCCCCTGGTCAGCCCCGGTGGTACTAGTAACGAAAAAGGATGGGTCAACACGGTTCTGCGTCGATTACCGTAAACTAAATGCAGTCACGCTCGGCGATGCCTTCCCTATACCCCGCATCGACGACACCTTCGACAGCCTCGCCGGAGCGCGATATTTTTCCACCCTCGATATCGCGTCCGGGTACTGGCAGGTGGAGATGGCGGAGGAGGATCGGCCGAAAACCGCATTCACCACCCCGATGGGGCTATTCGAGTTTCGAGTACTCCCGTTCGGACTCACCAATGCGCCCGCGACGTTCCAGCGGCTGATGGAGTTGGTGATGCGGGGCTTGCAATGGGAACAGTGCCTGATTTACTTGGACGATGTGATAGTGTTCAGTAGATCTTTGTCTGAGCATTGGTCCAGGCTTCGAGAGGTGTTCCAGCGACTGCGAGCGGCTCATCTCAAGCTCAAGCCACGTAAGTGTTACATCGCACAACGCGAGGTGGGGTACCTCGGGCATCGCGTCAGCGAGGCAGGCGTGCACACCGATCCGGAGAAGGTACGCGCCGTAGTGGAGTGGCCACGGCCAAGGAATCTGACGGAGATCAGATCATTTTTGGGGCTTGCCACCTATTATCGTCGATTTGTAAAGGGATTCAGCGAGATTGCACGCCCCCTCACCCAACTCACTTCCCCTAAGCACCCCTATCAGTGGACGGGGGCCTGCCAGACGGCCTTCACCACTCTCAAAGACCACCTCACCCACGCCCCCACCCTCGCTTTCCCCGATTTTACCACCGATTTTATTTTGGACACCGACGCCTGCAGCAGCGGGCTGGGCGCGGTGTTGTCACAGGTACAGGATGGGACGGAACGAGTCATCGCGTACGCCAGCCGGACCTTGAGTGGGGCCGAGCTGAACTATTGCGTGACCCGCCAAGAGTTGTACGCTGTGATTTTCGCATGTAAGCAGTTCCGGCCGTATTTGTAC